TTTATAGAAACATCCTATAGCTAGTTTTTCTTTCTAAGGTTGTATAAAATATATATATTCATTTATTCTAGAATAATGTTATTATATTATTATGCTATTTCTTAATAATATAGTAAGTATATTATAATATACTTTCTTTCTTGAAAAAAAAGCTTAAGGAAAAATTCTTAACTTTTTAGAAGAATTTAATTATTTACTAAAGTATATTATATAATCTATAGATTAGTAGTCGAATTGTTCATTTTTATTTCTATTTTTTTCCGTAAGGTACTCTAACTTCTTTAAAGTAGAAAATATATTTTAAAAGCTAAGACAGTATAAAAAATATACTAGCGAACTATAGAGAAAGAAATTAAACTTAGGAAGAGCGAAGGCGAGTATATATAATATATATTGCTGTCTCTCTCTACTTGAATTAAGGTTTATATAGAATACTACAACTATATATAGTAATAATAATATAATAGTATATTGAAATTCATTTATTTCTTTGTAATAGTATATTAGAATAATAGAATAATAGAATATATTCATTCTAAAATAATATATTATTCTATTATTCTAAGATACTATTATTAATAAATAAATTTATTTAAATATATTACTATAGTTTATTAACTAAATATAGTTTTATTATTGTATATAAACCTTAATTGAAAAGGAGAGAGTAATATATATACTTCGTCCTTTCCTTTTTAAAGATCTTTCTTCTTTCTATACTACTTTAGTATACGAGACTACAACTAACTACGCTACTCTCTACTACGCTATAATCTTATAAGACGTCTATTCAATAGTAGACTACTACTATAATACGAAGTAAGTCTACTAATATGAAAAAAACTACTTACTTAGTAACATACTAATTTTATTATTATTAGAATGTATACCTTCGACGATACCTTAACCTCTATTACTTTTATTAATACGTTTATTAATAAAAGTCCTATAGTAGCGTCTAGCCGCATAGACAAAACTATTAGGGCTGTTATTTATAGCTTGCTAAGTAATAGAGCTAAAGGGAATAAAGAAATCGTCGAATATCTAAATCAACTTCGGATTACCTACCTTATTAAGCGGATTAAGCAGTACGATATTAAGGAATATAAGAGGATTAAAGGTATTATATCCTAATAAATTAACCTAACGTATTATACTAATAGTTTGTAGCTTTTGTATTCTCTATCGATAATTTAGACGAGTTTAATTCTCGGCTAGATATTCGAGCTTATATCGACTCTTTAAACGATAACGATATCGTTTCTAGAATCGAATACCTTACGCTTTATCTTCTAAGATACTCGCTTTACTTTCAAGACTATAGTATTATATACTAGCCTTAAGATTTAGTAATATCTCTATACTAATAGATATTATAGCTTTTATTCGACTATTTCTAGATAGTAGTATAGTATCCCCCGAGAACTATACTACTATTAGTACTAGTATCGAGTCGGCTAGAGATACCTATCTCTATACGGATATCTACGACGATATCTACTTTCTTAGTAGACTTAACTTCTTTAATTTAGAGTATAAAGAGGAGGAAAAGATTCTTATAGAGGCCTATTTAAGTACGGCCTTAAAGGAGGAGATTAAATCTCTAAGCTGCAGTACTATAGAAGAAATTCTTAGTACTAGAAATAGTATCGAGATAGATAGTAGTAAGGAAGATAGTAAGGACTCGGAGGAGATAGCCGATAGAGAGATAGACTTAGAGTAGGCTAAATAGCCTAGTCTTAGCTATCTAGGGATAGTAGTATTATATATAGTAGTAGGAGTAAAGGGTATTAAAGGGTTTTCGTCATATAAATCGCTCCAAATTGTAGTATAATCTAGACTTAGATCATAGTATACCTATATTCGAGAGAGACATTAAGTACTTATAGTCTATTAGATACTTTCTATAAGAATACCGGTATTATATTGTTCTTATTATAGTAGTTTCTTTATTTAGGTAGATACTATTAATCTTTTATACCGATATTATACTATAAATATCTATATAGTCTAGTGTACTATATAAGTAATCCTATAGCTAGTATAAATATAAAAAATATATATTAAGTATACGGCTATAATATAATAGGATTGTAACGATTATATAGTATAAAATAGATAACGGCTCTATCTAGCTATCGGAAAGACTGCCTATATAAGTATACCTGCCCTTACTAGATAATAGCAACTATAGCGGCTAATATTAGCGGCTACTAAACTATTGTATATATATTATCGACTATAGCGACTAGTAGTAGCCGCTACTATACTATTGTATATATACTATAGTAATATATATTTCTACTATTAATATTAGACTATCCTTAATTATATTATAGTATATTATAGTATATTATAGTATATTATAGTATATTATAGTATATTATAGTATATTATAGTATATTATAGTATATTATAGTATATTATAGTATATTATAGTATATTATAGTATATTATAGTATATTATAGTATATTATAGTATATTATAGTATATTATAGTATATTATAGTATATTATACTTATTAAGTAATTCTATAGCTTAGAATAGGTAGAAAAACTACTATAATAGTAGAATAGTAATTACTATTTTACTATTACTATTACTATTACTATTTCTCGAAGGTCCCTAGTAATAGTAATAGTAATAGTAATAGTAATAGTAATAGTAATAGTAATAGTAATAGTAATAGTAATAGTAATAGTAATAGTAATAGTAATAGTAATAGTAATTACTATAGTAATGTTACCATTACTATAGTAATTACTATTTACTAGTTTACTAAGGTTTTTATATCTCTGTTGCGTGCATGCGCCTAGGCCTAGCTGCGTTGTGAAGTGAATAGACAGTGCAGTACTGCGGCTGCGCCCCGATTCAAAGTTTGTATATGATGGTTCCAGTGCCAGCAGTGCATGGACGCGGCCATCGCGAGTAATCGCACCCCAATGCGAAATCGTAGTGCACTTGTTGCACGCATTCTTTCAAAACTTGTTGTTGCTTCACTCTGCGGTACGTCAACTTTATGCGGATTCCTGGAGTCTGTTTCATAGCTCCACGGGTTGTTTGGAGGTGACACGAGGCCGCAAAAAATGGGTTGTCCAGAGCGGCGAAAAAGCAGCCTTTTTGCCAAGAGGCTGCGAATTCGCGGCTTCTCCATCTGACCAGACGCTGCGAATATGCGGCCTACTCGCTGCCCACTCCTGATGCAAACCACAAACATTGGTTCAATGCCTCCGTATTTGGATTTGGTCCACAATGTCTACTGCAATGCTTAAGTTTTGAAGCGGTCACGGCGGGCTATACTATGAGGCTGCATATACCAGGCTTTTTCAACCCGACTTCCTCACTCTGCATGTCACCTAGTAACTCTTACATATGCTGGTTCAATACTTGTCACTGGTTTGCCATGCATTACTTCATTCGTCAGTCCATCGAGATTTTCACAATCTGCTGGATTGGTTCGCCTTTTGAAGTAGGCAGGAATGCGGCGTCGAGGCCGCAATGCGCGGCTGACTGGCTTTTGCAAAATGCGGCGCGGCCCACTCCCGATGCCAACCACAGCAACCGCGGCCTGGCTTCGTCAACATGCAACGCCCTGGCTTCGTCAACATGCAACGCGATACATACAACAACACGCCACGCCCGCATCAGCTTTCGTGCACATGAATCCCGAAGCAAACTTTTGACTGCAGTCCGTTCGTAGCAGCTTCGAAAACCATGCGACTTCTCCCACCCATCAGCGTGCACTCGGCAATTCCTTGATGGCCAAGTTGCACAGTACTGCGAAGCGCGCTGCCAACACTCCGGCCGACGGCGAAGATCTGAGCGAAATCCTACAAATTCAGCACTTGAAGGACTGCTGCAAAGAGCACAAATGCACTAGAGACGCACTTGGCAGCTACTGCGAGACGTATCAGCGCTTCACCGACAAAAGCGGCGTCTTTCCACTCGGGCGCATCAAGGACCTGATCCCGCCGGAGGTGCAGACGGAGCTTGAGTTTTGTGTAAACAGGAAGCTGAACGACCACAAGGCGAAACAACGGCTTCACGCGTGCATCCAACCCCCAGACAGGCGCAATCGCAAGGCAGAAGCCTGTTGGTGGCAGCTCGACTTCCTTGATCTCATCGGCTGGTTTGGCGGAGATTTGAGCTGTCTATCGCGTAATTTCTGCGGGAATCTGCGCGAGGCGGAAAGATCTGGATGCAAACGCGACACCTTCTTTCGGACACTGCTGGAGGTGCTGACCGAAAAGGAGGGCGTAGTTTCATGTCCTTTTGCTGCGCGCTCGTGGGAACCCGCTGACCTGAAGACGGCGCTCGAGCGTTGTGGGCCGGAGAACTGCGAGGAAGAAGGATCAACGCTCACAGAAGCCAACGAGGGCGCCACCAGCAAAGCAGAGCCAACTGTCGAAGGCGATGACGACGGGTACGACTCGAATTACGCCAGCGACGACAACTTGAACGCATCAGCACCAGGCCTCAAGGAGAAGAGAAAGACGAACGCTAGAAGAGAAGCGCTGTCGGTGATCGAAGAAGAGGAAGACGAGGAGGCAGAGGACGAGGCAGAGGACGAGAAAGAGGACAACGAGGAGGAGGACAACGGCGAGGATTGTGACGCCAGCGAGAACGGCAGCACTGAGCTACCCGTCGAGCAGGCTCGTGGAGCCTCCGCCTCTCCACTGCGTGACGATACCTGGTACGGCGCCCACGACGAGGCTGACGGCGCGTCCTTTGGCGACGACGACGAAGGTACCGAGCACGGATTTTCTGGCCTGAACGATTCATACGGCGCGATTTACGACTACGACGACAAAAGCGACCACAGGCGTCTTGAAGGCCATCTGAAGGATCCCCAGCCGCGAACTCCTCCACGCCAGGTCAGCCGCAGCCTCACCGCGGGCAAAGGCACGAAACGCACCTTTGTCGACTTCTCTTCTTCCTCTCCCGCAAAAGTGCCTGTCAAGCGAAGTAAGACTGCTGCCACTGCCGATTCTGCCCCGCTTAACTTGCTCCTCCCTGCCGACAAGTCTCCAATACCCGCAGCCCTACGTAAGGCGACGATCAAAGCTTCTCCACCTCCACCTTCCGCTTCTACATCGCAGCGGCAGCCTGTCGTCCCAGCTTCTCCACATACACCTCCCGCTTCCACATCACAGCGGCGGGCCATCGTCGCAATTTCTTCATCGCCGCTGCGGGCTCTGCCTTCTCCTGAGCGCGACCAACCTCACCACGGCCTCCAAGTTTCGACTGCAGAAAACACCACAATGGCGCAAGGCGGCGGCGGCGCATCCTCGTCTGGTGCGCGACCACCTCCAGCCCCACAGCACCCGCAGCACCCACAACCGCCAGCACCCACCCCTGCTCCTGCTCCTCCTACCGCGAACTTCAGATGCGCGCCAAAGCCCGCCGACTCGGTGCCAACAGCTTTGGACACCCTGCAGGCTGGTCGGCTTGTCACTAGCGCCGCTCTAGATCTTGTCCTCCAAGTGTTTATGCCGACGGCCTTCCATGTTGCAGATGCCTCCGCTGCGCAGCAGAGCAATACTGCCCACTACCGTCCTCTGCAGTATCAAGCCGCCGATCAACTCCCGCCCATCGTCCTGCCAATCTACACACCAGATCACTGGGTGATCGCACTGATCGACCCATCTCACAGGACTTGCTGTATGCTGGACTCTTGGACGACAAATCTCTTCCACGAGCGGACCGAGACTCTCGCAATGAACTTTTGCAACCGCCTGCCAGGTGGCAGTAATGGCTACACCATACGGAGGCCCAACGATTTTCCCAAGCAGAGAGACAACGTCAGTTGTGCAATTATGGCAATGCTCGACGTTCTGCTGCGAACCACAAATCTCTCTGTCCCTCCCAATGCACGCCTTCTCGATCAGGACACAATTCGGTACCTTTTCCGTGTGGCCATTCATGCCGCATATCCCGAAGCTGGTCTTCCCACCCAGCACGATCTGCCTGCTCTCGCACCTCCAGACGAAACGCAGGTGCAAGCTTGCCAGCAGTACCTCGAAAACCTCCGCGCTCGCCAGGCGACTGCCCAGTTGCTGGAGCTCGTTGCCCAATGCAACCTCAGCAGTAGCGATCCTTCCCCAAACCTCGCCCACCAAGAACAAGCGCTGGAGTCCTTTCAGAGTTTGATCGCGCTCGGTCAACAAGACGCGCACATTCGAGCTCGTCTTCCTCCAGACCTCGCCGCATACCAATGTCGCATAAGGAATGAGATGACCTTGCAGAGAATGAGATTCCAGGCGATGGATCAAGTTGTACTACAGGCGAGACGGATCAGAGCTGAGAGTATGCCGGAGCTCAGTCGAATGATAGGTCTTGTGGGGTTTTGATGGAGGTGTAATTGTGAACGAATCTCGCATCATGGCCAATGCGGAGACTGTGGAGCGAGGTTCATTGCTGGAATGGTGCTTTTCGTAATTGAGGCATACTTCCTTTTGGTCTGTCTGCTAGCTAGAGTACTCACATGCTACCAATCATACACATACACATACACACTTGTGCACTGGCATTTCCTCCAAGTCTTACATCCGCGCATCTGGACCAGGGGCTCGTCGCCGTGTAGATATTTATCTGATATACTGATTGGAGGGGTCTCGAGGTGACACGTTGAGAATATACACGTGCACCAATCGCGTATCCGGGAAGCCGCCCGAAAAGTCTGACCATGAGCATGGGCATGTTGTGAGCAGTCAGCCCCAGAATGTTCGACCTTCAAGCGCAGTGAGACGTTCGACTCGATTCTACATTCGCAGCCTTTGCGCCGGAGTGTCGGTCGCAAAGAAAGCTACGCTGCGCTCAGCAGGCCGCCGTTGTCTTCGATGGAAATCTCTTCACCGACGCAATCCCCACAAGCATGCCCTCGACCTCCGATGACAACCGCACCGACGCAGTCCCCACAAGCATGCCTTCGACCTCCGATGACAACCGCGCCGACGCAATCCCAACAAGCATGCCCTCGACCTCCGATGACAACCGCCACGAAACGAGCTGAATGTCGACGACACTTCCAGGCCAACTTCGCGGAGCAAACACCAATCGAGAACTCAGCAGCAAACTTCACATCACATATCGATAGCGTGCAGTAGATCCTGCCAATTTGGCGAAAGAAGATGGGCACAGCGCTGAGGTATACTGAAGGCTAAATTGTCGAGGTTCAGACATCAGCATGGATGGTATCAATAGCACCGGGAGTGAATGAGATGGACGCGCGCAGAACTCCATAGGGAAGCACGGAAGATTGAAAGAATATCGGAGAGAAAGACAAGAGGTGTATGTGATCAAACTTGCTCGGTCTCCACAATGCGCATGCCTTGAAGTCTCTTCTCTCATCATATGCAGCCATGTTGTCAGCAGTATGTTCGTTGAGTTCATCTTCAATCACGTTCAAGGGTTGAGTGCAGCCAACACCAGGCGCTCCAGCATACCTTTGCCCGCATCATTCCTAAGCATCCGGCCAGCATGAGCTCGGAAGGCAGTCAGCGCCAGAGCCTCTGATACACCTTTGCCCGCATCATTCCCGAGGATGCGGCTGACATGAGCTTGGAGGCCATACCTCACCAAGACCTCTGCCCACCTTTGCCAGCGTCATTCTCCAGCACGTGGCGGGAATGAGCGTGGTGGGCGTGGTGGGCGTGGTGGGCGTAGCCGGGCGAGGTGGGCGTAGGTGGGCGTAGGTGGGCGTGGCTGGGCGTGGTGGGCGTAGCTGGGCAGCCGACACCAGGACCTCTGGCACGCGTTTGTCAGCATCATTCTCATCGATGCGGCTCCCATAAGCTTGGAGGCCATACAATACCAGAGCCTCTGGTACAACTTTGCCGGCATCATTCTCAGGGATGCGGCGAGCATGAGCTTGGATGGCAATCAGCACCTGAACCACTGGCAAAAGTTTGCGGGCATCATTCTCAAGCATGCGGCCGCCATGAGCTCAGGTTGGAGGGAATCCAACACCAGAACCTCAGGCACAACTTTGCCGGCATCATTCTCAAGGATGCATGCGGCGAGCATGATCTTGGAGAGCGTATCTCGCACGAATGCCGAGAAGGTTGCACCTTGGGGTCGTGGGCCGAACAAGTGGGCGGCATCAGCCGCAGAGGAGACCGTATCCTCTAGGCACAGAGAGCCTGCAGCTATTCCATCTTTCCAGGAAAAGGGGCAGTGTAAGCTCGCGGCCTCAAAACAGGCGGTGTCCATGAGATGATAGCATATGATCTCCGTTTCTGGCTTATGTTTCTGGAAATTTCAGCTGGCATCCGGTTCAAGCATGCCATTCATGCCACCTTCGTGGTATCCCAGATGCTGGCTTGAGTGCCACCCCACTCTGCGGCATACTCGAATTACACAGTCCAATCGTATGCCGATCGATTTGACCTCGCACCCTTGTCTTGGCCGTGCTCGCCGCCGACAGCACCAGAATGGTATCAGCTACAGCCCAACAGCAATATTCACGGGCTGCTACTGCCCAGCGCATCTTGTCGTCCTCAAACCGAGCTGTATCACGGGGATCCCGATTTTCCACGATGCTGCTGTCATTCGTTTACCCCGCGCTGCGTCGAGAACATGTTCGCGGCTGCGGAAAAGCGGTGATATGCCTCGTGCATCTCACAGCATTCTTTCGGCAGTCAGCTTGCCAGTTTCGATTGAATCTAGATTTGCAGCAGAGATTGAACTCCGCATTGCTTGAACGGGAAAGGGAGAAGATTTGTGATGCCTGGGATGTATTGGAGTCGGAATGCTGTGGATGAGATTGATGCCGGATTGTGCGACGTAAAGAAGGCAGCGGGAATTGGGGTGTTTTGACTCAATTCCATGATCGGAGTCCCGTCCGCAACACAATCACGTCTTCAGACCGCTGCGAGCCCACAGGGAGCAGCTGGCAGATCAAATGCGTCTGCAATGTAGTTACGGAATCCCAGCTGCAACCACCATTCAAGAATTTCCTAGCAGCGTAAGCACCCACTCCGAGGAGCTCACCATGTCGGTGACTGGACGTGAATGTGCAATTCTGCGGATCTGTTTCGTTGCTATCAGAGTTGCTGCTGCTGTGCGGATCTGGCACAGCCGGTATGACGCACATCGAATCGAGAGATCGCTGCAAGAGCATGGGCTTCGTCGTCTTGACCATTTCTCCTCGAACGTCCAATGAAGCTTGAACAAACTTCCCAGATTGATCTTTCTGAGTATTTCGCTGCTCTGATACGGGAGGTGCGCGAAAATTACGCCAGCATGTGTTGAAAGGTCGTTCATCATGCGTGGCGAGCACTTTGTGGAGAAACGGAAGTCCCATTCTCTGCTGCCATTCGACTACGTCTTGGGACACTTCATCGATTGGTAAATCGAGTGCGAGGACTGCGACTACCTTCAGTGTACAAGTCTATGAATAGCCCTCGATCGAGAGCTGAGGTTGCGACTACTTCTCAAATTTGCAAATCTATGAATAGTCCTCGATCGAGAGCTGAGGCTGCGACTTCTCAACTTAGAGAGAAAGAGCTCGACGAACATGAATGCGAGAAAAACGTCGCATACTTGGATGCAAGGGCTGGGAGACATCTGCAAGAACATTAGTTTCGATGGAGTTATGAAATTCGAGCATTATTCATCGATGTCGAATTAGTATGTAATGATGAATCTGAGATAAAAAATCTGGATACAGCGAGGGGTAGAGCAAGCAGGACTCTCTTTCCTTCTACATAGGAAAGGGAGGAGGAGAAGAGTAGCGGTTTCTGACTTCTCCCCCTCGTAAGCAGACGACCAGGAGCGCCAGATTTTCGCCAGCAAGCAACTCGAAGTCGACCGAGCACCTCATCCGAAACCTCCCATTCCAGCGCCTGTCTCCGTGAGATCCTTCGTTACCAAGCTCCTCGCCCGAAAGCTCCAATTCCAATGGCTGCCCGTTTCGAGCATGAGAAAGTCGCTGCTTCGCAGCAAGTGCAGCTCGATCGCTGCAGTACTCATGCTGCGAGACTTATGTACATTGATACCATGTTTCAGCAGAAAGTCGAGCAGACGCAGACGCGTTTGTATGAGATTTTTTACCTCTGGCAGTGGTTGGAGCAGAGGGCTCCTCAGGAAGCTGAGCTGGCTTTGAGGAAGTATGAGGCGCTTGGAAAGTTGGTGAGTAGTTGTGTCTGACATTGGATACTGGTAATGAATAGTCCGAGAAGTGTTTGCTGATATGTTGTGTCTCAGGTTGGTGATACTGGTACGGAGATTTCGGCTTTTCAACGAAAGGTCGATACCATCAAGCGGCGCTGGCCAGAATGGACTTGGAATGTTGGCGAGCGGACTCCTGCGGTCTTCAGCGGCCGTATGGTCGATACTTTGGTGAAGCTGAGTTTGCGGATCGAGAATGATCCGGATGCTCGTCGTTTGGCTCCGGCGCTGCTGAAAGATGCAGCAACTGCTCGCATTCGCGAGCTCAAGACTACTCTGGCCTCGGGCAATAAGGCCCTCATGCTTACGACGGCCGATATCGAAACGGTGTGGCGGGATTTTGGAGGTCAGACGCGCAAAGAGACCACCATTGTGGATCTTTTGGAGAGAAGCAGGACGAGTATCGAGAGGGGAGTCGGTAGTGCCGCTCCCCTCGCAGGTACTTCGTCGATTTTCCGGACCAATGTGTCGTCAATGCCCTTGTTGGGCCAAAATTCCTTTGGCAGCTTCGCCTCCTCCTCCTCGCTGCCGCCTGGCCACGAGCCAACACCGCCTCCTCCTGCTCCTGCTCCTCCTGGCTCTCCTCCTGGGCCTGACCTTGAGCCAACACCTCCTCCGCCTCCGCCTCCGCCTCGCGTTCTTCCGGGGAGAGATGCTCGTCCTCCGGCTGGCTTCGGTCTTGGTGCCGTCAGTGGTGGGCTCTCGCGAGGCCATAAGAAATCGAAGAGACCGCGCGTTGATTCGCCACCACCGCTCCCGCCGCCTCCTCCTCCTCCTCCCGGCCAGCTTGACTGGCGTAGCATGTTCGCAGCTCAGCTGCAAATCGATGAAGATCGGCTCGCTGCCGCCGCAACAGATGAGGAGAGAGATGCCGCCTCCGCCGCCCTCGACGCCACCAAAGCTGCGATGAGCATGGCTCCTGCACATTGGGGTGCTCTCGAATGAAAGCTTTTCCTCTCTTCCCGGTTGTGGGTAAACCAAAAACCCTCCAGATGGAAAACTGTAAACCAACCCTTGCGATGTACTCGCACCTTGACGTGGTGCAAGGGCTTCTGGTACCTGGAACCTTTACCAAGACGAGTACAACAACTACATACAATGAATGATGCTGGCGGCGACATTACTTCGACTTCTTCGATTTCACCCGGTCTTTCGCGGACACACGGACTCACCTTTTTCCGATCTTCATTGGCGGTTCGGCAGGAAGGAAATGCACAACACGATGGGAGAAATCCTAGTAGCGGCATCATTGGAATATCTTCTGGCTTTGGAGGCAGCATAACTGGAATTTCTTCTTGCTATGGACGCGTTACTCGAATCCCTTCCTGCCGTGGCGGCGGCAGTACTGGAATCTCTTCTTCTGGCGATATGGCGGTGGCAGGAGATGCAGCAGGACGATGCGATGCGATGCGATGCGATGCGACTCGTGCGGCGAATCGAATGATGGCGGCGGTATCACTTGATTCTTCTTGTTCTCCAAGTTGTGAATATGTAATTCTGGATCCATGGTCATGGCGTCATTCCCGGTCCGGCTAAAAAGGATGGAGCAGGCGCAGATGCCGGCGCGGGAGGAGAGCTGAGCTTCATGCAGCGCACACAGCCATACACACCCTCGCCAGCTTCACATCAGATCGGGATTGGATCGGCCCCATCACCGGACGACCTCTCGGTATCCAACAGTCCGAAAACAATGTCATCACAGGGAGCAACCGACATGGCGTCAGGCGAAAACTGCAACCACCACCGTCGGAGAATCAGCAAAAGCGACGGTTTTGTCCAGCAACTGATCGACCAACACCCACCTCGCAAGATCATGACTGCTTTTCAGACTTTCTCCGAACTGGTCGACCAACGCGTGGCACGCCTCTTCACAGCATTTGACGATCCAGCAAGCGACGAAGATCTCAAGGCCGAGGCCACGATGTTCCTGGATGCCGAGGAGGAAGCTGAATGGCACGCGGAGTGGGCTCGAGCTCGCGTTACATTGAAGCAGATTCTCTCATCTCTGGAGACGAGACGTGAGGAGCTTGATCATATCGTTTGCGAACGTGTCTTGCCTGCGTGGCTGGAAGCGGGTGGTAGGAAGACGACAGCGATGCCGGAGGACGTGGACATGAAGGATGAGGAGAAGAAGCACGTGGCCATGAAGGATGAGGAGAAGAAGCATGTGGCCATGAACGATGTGGCCATGAATGATGACGCCAAGAAGGATGTACACAAGAAGGTTGTAGTCAAGAAGGTGGTGCAAAAGAAGGATCGGGGCAAGAAGGGTGTAGACATGGAGGAGGATGTCAGCAAGAGAAATGTGGACAAGAAGATCAAGCAAGAGCAGAAATGATGCGTGCTTTGCAGGTTGACCTCAGGTATGACCAGGCGCTCATGTCACCAGGCTAAACAGCTATGGTAACGCTGATCGCAGTTGCTGACCCAGTGCAAGAAAAGTGGAGAACAACTTCGATCAGGGCTCGCGCAGTATCATCGCCGTGCTTGAATGGATGGCCACTGACCTACTGGCCGCTGGCCATGACAATGAAACGTAAAGCACGACGAGAAGAACAACTGGCACCGAGACATCATACCACATTGACACAATCATAACCAAACGGCACCACACAATAGGCGGAGCAGACACCGCCGGGGGTGGTCAGTCATCTGCACGCACTTTGTCGGCACCTCCGCGCAATGAATGCAGTTCAGGAAGGCAAGCAAACGAACATCGGGCATTGGAACTGCTTTGGTCGAGGAGGACGACGGGAAAATGAGACTGAGCAAGACGTAGCATGAGTATTCATTGTCACATTGCACCAATTCTGAGCATCGGCTCCTGCTTTCACAGTATATCAAGATCTCTTTACACAGTAACGGAGTAATCACAGATCCTGAAATACTTACTCCCAACGCAGTGATTTTTAGACCTTACAACTCATCCCGCAAATATTGGCAATTTCAAAGGCAGCCGTATGTCTTGCTTCTCCTTAAAACATCTTAAAGGTTAGTATAATCTGTAACGTATATGCAAATGTTTATTAGACGAACGACCTACTTACAAACGGATATAACAAGGCGTACCGGTTTGTCTCGTTACGTCGGATAGTTAAATAACAACTTTATACTCGACTTATTTTCCCTCGGATTTGTCGTTAGAGATACCGATTCTTTATACTACGTTAAAGTATAAGTATAGGTTTATAAAGGGTAGTTCTAATAGGGACAACTTAGTAGTCTAAGATAGATTTTACGTTTCTTTTAGTTAGTTCGGTTACGTATATCTATACGGATTAGCTAAAAGCTACGACTTTAAGCTATTTATATAGATTACGAAACTACCTCTTAGGGTAAATTCTATCTCCTTTTAGAAGCTCTATAGATACCTTAGACTCTACTATATATAGTAAGAACCGGATCTAGCGGAGCGTCTATTAATAATCTATTAGAAAGTAGAGATTCTAGGCTTCGTAAGCCTCTTTTTATAATACGATAAACGATATAATATAATAGCTGTATACTATATAAAAATCGTTATATAAAGAAGGTTCTCGAGAATTTTAAGATTTATCCGTACGTAAGCTTAAACCTTATCTAACGTAACTCCGTATATCGAAAAAAGCGACTAAATTCGAATAATAATAAGAGAACGGTTATTGCTTCGCTATAGACGCCGGTCTATAGGCGAAAAGAATCGACTAATACGAATTAAACGGTCTAAAAATCTTAACAATACGACGTTATAAAACTATTTTTCCCGATCGCGATAATTCTATTAATCCTATCTATCGCTAGCGATCCTAGCGATAGGATTGATCGACTTAATAACAGAAATTAATATATTATACTATACTAGAAATATAACATTTTTGTCTTATATTACTAAGCCGCAAACCTTCTAGATAAAGAGATATAAAGTAAGAAAATCCCTTTTCTAGAAATTCTACTTCTAGTCTATCTCTTTTTCTAGTAGGTTTACGGCTTAGGAATATATTATAAAGTACTCTATTTTTAGTATATTATTATAAAAAAATATAAAATTCCTAGATTTCCTAAGAAACTAAAGCTAAGAAAAAGAATGAAGTAGTATAGTATTTTAGCTTTTTCTAACCTATACTTTACTATTATTAGAGATCTAAAAGGTAGAACTTAGAGGTCTACCTACTAATAAGACTATTCTAAACTTTTAACCTTAAAGACCTAGTAGTTATCTTAGAATCTAGAAAAGAATCTCGAGTATCTCGACTATAGTTTTTTATAAAATTCTACTTATTAAGCGTCGGCTTTTGAAAAAACCTTAACGTAATCTCGGCTACATTTGACCAAACCTTAACGATAAAAAATTATTTATAAAAAAACCGATAAAACCTCTAAATTTAATATATATAGTATTTCGAAATACCTCGTAGTAGTAAAGCAACCGTAATAGTAGTCGGGCTCTAATAGTCGGGCTCTAAGTCCCGCGTCCAATAGCGTTCCTTAGCCCTATAGTCCGAGATTAAGGCCGCGGATAAAGACGAAACTCCCTCGGAGACCTCTAAGAAGGTAGTCCTTATTGCGTCCTTAAGAGAAGAGTATTCCTCTACTATATTCGCCTTAAAAGCGGCCGGTTTATCTACTCTTTCCTACGAGGAACTAGTTTAACGACTACGGGCCGTTTCATATACTATTACTACTTCTAAAAGCGATAAGGTAGTAGCCCGATATACTAAGGATTCGGTAAAAGATAAGGCCGGTAACGGAAAGAAGGGTAATACGTCTAATATACCTAATAAAGCTAAAGGAAAGACCTATTACTATTGCTTAAAGGTCGGGTACTTTAAATAGGACTATAGGAAGTATAAATAGGACCTAAAAAACGGAAGGATCTAAGAAAATAATAAGGAGGAATTAAAGATCGTAGCTTAGGCGGCTATCGATTCTACGACTCGACTTTCTAATAAAGGGGATTAGATCCTAGACTCCGGATATACTAGATATATATCTAACGATAAGAACTACTTTACGGACTATAAGGAAGAACCCGGAAAAGTTACTATAGCGAATAGTAAAACGATAAAGGCCGCGGGATCCGGTATAATCCTCGCCCGGTTTAAGGGAATTCCGACTACGATTCTAGACGTTATATACGTGCCCGAGATCGGTTATAATATCCTTTCGATAAGCTAACTCTCGTAACGAGGTATTACGACTCTATTTACTAAAGAAGGGGCTATACTTCGAAGAGGAAACGAAGAACTAGCTAAAGGCGTACGCGTCGGAAGATCCTATATTCTAAAGGAATCTAGATCTATCGGGACTTCGAAAGTAGCTACTACTACGACTAAAGATACTACGCTACTTTAGTATCGACGCCTAAGATATCTAGGGGACAAAAAACAACGTAATATATATAAAATAGTACTAAGAGTACTAGAGGTTTCGACGTTAAATAAGTCTTACGAGACTTATATTACTATAAAGTCTAATAGACGATAAAGTTAAGAAGACCCGAAAAGGCAGATTATTACCTAAATAGGATATATATTGATTTTTAGTATTCGTATAAGTATAGTATCCTAGGGGAAAATAGGTATATACTAACGATTACGGACGACGCTTCGAGACGGCTAGATATCCGCCCTACTCGCTATAGAAGCGATATATACGAAGCCTTTAAGGCTTAGAAAGACGAGGCCGAACTTAAAACTAGGAGGAAACTAAAGGCTATAAGTATTATAGTAGCTGCCTAGAAAGTACCGACAAGTCCTATAAGCTAGCTACTATACTATAAAGTAATTTCGGATTTGAGTTGCCTTAGTAGTAGGGGCCCCTAGCGAAGCAGGTCGCCTAGTTAGCCGCCTATTTAGCCGTATAACGTAATATCTTAGGGACTCCCGCGGAGGCTATATATAGTAGAATAATACGTTGTATATTAATATATAAACGATAGGATTATACTAAACTACGCGTACGCGTATATAGACGATAGTAAGCGAGATATATAGAATCGTAGGATAGATCCGAGTAGTAGGAAGGAACCGGAAGATAGGGAAGAGCTAGGAGAAACATATTTGCTTAAGAGCAGTTAAACGAGTTCGTATACGCGCGCCGCGTAAGTTAGCTAGGAAATAAAGTCGCTACGAGATAGCGGATAAGCGGGATGCGCGCGTAGGGAAGGACCTGTAAGTAGAGGTTTGCTAAGAAGTAAGTAAGTAAGATATATATATCTACGCTTACGCGTCGGACGCGCTAGATACCCGTAGGGCGGGATACTAAGGAAGGGGCTCTCCCTCTAAGGTACCCTTCTTCCTTTCTTCGTAGTTCGTCTTATATAGATAGTAGCTGTATTAGTTTAGTAATCCCTTTGGTTTAGTTTTAAGTTTAGTTTATATTCTTACTACTTAGCCTCCGACCCTTATATTACGAACTGCCTTAAAAAACGCTTCTATTACGACAGATACTTCTAACGAGTAGATTTAAAATCTAGGACGAAGTACCCGATTTTTTAAGCTTAGTGTAAAAGGATATTCCCGCTACGCGCGAGTAACTAGATTACGCCTATACTACTAACCCGGAACTACTCGCTAACCTACTTAAGGCCTATAAAGACGCTACTCGTTTCCTCTCGGTCTCTCGTATAAGCTTTAGTACTACTTTTAACGATACAAATACCTCTATTATAGAAAAAGAAGACGAAGTAGGCTACCTCTAGTCGTAGCTCGCCTCTACTCGCCTAGGCGCCGCGGTACCCGCCTCTTACCTATTTACGCCTACTTCGAATAAAAGTAAGAAACTTAGCGATTCCGAACGCTTTACCGGTAAGCGTAAAGTATACGAAGAATTTAGGATATAAGTTAAAATCCGCTTTCTCGCTAATACCGACTACTATCTAACTAAAGCCTTAAAGACCGGATTTATATTCTCTCTACTCGGCGGCTCTACCCTCGATTCTTACTATAGCCTTTTAGAAAATATAGAAACCACTACGACGAGTAGTATCTAGAAGGCCCTCGACGCTAGCTTCGGCGACCTAGACCGTAAGCAAACTACGCGCCTAAACTTAGTTAAACTTAAGTAAGCAAATAAGACCTACTAAGAATACTACGCTACTTTCTAATACGAGATTAGGTACGCTAAATACTCCCCGGACGTCGCTAAGTAGATCTTAGTACGCGGTCTTAGTAAAGAAATAATATTACAAGTCCGCGATAAAGATACGGAGACTTTAGACATTACCGAACTATATGCCTTACTTATACGTATCGATAATATAACTCGAAACTTCGCGAAAATTATCGCTAACCGCGGAGGCGCCCGTACGAATACTAGCCGCTTTATATCGCCGTTCGCTACGCTACTATCGATATTACAGATACCTTAGACGCCGGCTTTAGTACTAGCTCTTACTATACCCCTAATACCGCTAGGCGCCTAGCCTACCGCCGAACCGATAGATTTAAGCGCTACCTTACTCGGCGCCCGTCTACGCGCGCCCCTAGTAAACGGTAGGCTTTCGGAAGAAGAGAAGTAGCGCCGCCGTATAGTAGTAGAATATATCTACTACGGTATAAAAGGATATATTACTCGCCTCTGTCCGTCTCTCGTCGGTCGGCTAAATACGCTAACGATATAGCGAGTCGCCCGCTACGAATATTACGACTCTAGATACGCCTTTACTAGCTAGCGCTACTCTAAGCGGGTAGGGAAAAGCTTAAACCTTATATATAATCGCTTATAAGGGTTATTCGTTCCGAAATTAAGAGTATCTATTACTACCTTCCCTTTCTCTAGCTTAGGTATAGAGAAAGAGTTAGTTTACTAGCCTTTCGTAGTAGAAACGTTAATAGGAAATTAAAAGAAATTATTAAAAACTATAGCTCTTATTAATAACGGCGTAACCGGCTACTCGTTTATAGATTACGGCTATACGAGAGAGCTTAGCTTAACGTTCTAAGACCTTACGTACGCTCGGGAGTTAGAGATATTTAACGGTACGACCGCGACCGCCGGTAAGGTAACCTAGATCTACTACTTATCTATTACTATCGGCCCGTATACCGAATATATTATGTTTTTCTTATAAAACTCCCGTAGACTTACTCCGTTATTTGTAGTCTTCCTTAGCTTAAAAAGTATAACCCGGTTATCGACTAGGCCTCCGAATCTCTATCCTTTACGAGTAAGTATTATATAGAGTACTACTTTAGCGAATTTAGTTCTACCTCTAAAACTCCCCGAGATCGTATAGTATTCGCTATTAGCGCGGCTACCTTCTCGCGTCTTACCTACGATAAACGTACTTAGATCTTCGCTACGATAATATAGGATATCGAGAAAGCTATCCGAAAGTTCGACAAAGAACTAACGGATCCGAGAACGAAACTACTAAAGGAGTATTAGTACCGACTCTACTAGTTTTCGAAGAAGAACGCTAATATTCTACCGCTATACCGGCCGGATATTAACTATAAAATTAAATTAATCGACGGTAAACCGCCGCCGTACGGCCCTCTCTATTCTATATCTCGAGATAAGCTCCTCGTACTAAAGAAATACCTAGAAGATAACTTATAAAAGGGCTTTATTTATCCTAGTTCCTCCGAAGCTACCGTACTAGTTATATTTATCTAGAAACCCGGCGGAGGTCTCCGCTTCTACGTAGACTACCGGGGCCTTAACGCCTTAATAAAGAAGAACCGATACCTAACTCCTCTCGTAAACGAAACGCTCGAACGCCTTTCGAAAGCCCGCTAGTTTACTAAGCTTAACGTAATCGCTACCTTTAACGCGATCCGTATTACTAAGGGAGACGAATAGCTAATAGCCTTCCGAACCCGTTACGACCTTTTCGAATACCTAGTCTTACCGTTCGGGCTCTATAATAGACCTAGTACGTTCTAATTATATATTAACGATACGCTTAAAGGGTTCTTAGACGCCTTCGTCTTAGTATATATAGACAATATCTTAATCTATAGTAAAACGAAAGTAGAATACTACGAATATATCGAAAAGGTACTTTAGAAACTTAAAGAAGCTAGACTATATATCGATATCGATAAGTGCGAATTCTATAAGTAAGAGGTAAAGTTTCTTAGCCTTATTGTCTCTTAAGAAGGTATCCGAATAGATCCCGGTAAAATCGAGGCCGTTCTAAACTAGGGAGTACTACGAAACGTAAAAGAAGTCTAAAGCTTCCCCGGTTTCGCTAACTTCTACCGGATATTTTATACGGAATTTTAGCGGAATCGCCCGTCCTCTTCAAGTATTTATATAGAAAGATATTAAATTTAAATAGTCTCCGGCCTATTAAGAAGCCTAGGACTAGCTATAATATAGTTTTACGACCGTACCGATTCTATAGTACTTCGACTTTAATAAAGAAACGCGTCTAGAAACCGATACTTCCGACGGTACGACTAGCGCCGTTCTCCTTTAGCGAGCGACCCTAGAAGATACGTAGCTACCTACAGCGTACCTCTCTAAGAAAATATCCTCTACTAAATATAATTACGATATCTACGATAAAGAACTCCTCGTAATCGTTAAGGCTTTCGAAGAATAGCGCCCGGAGCTCGAAGGTTCCGAATCGCCGATCTAGATTAGCTCGGATTATAAGAATCTCGTCTACTTTCTTAAGGGCAAAATCCTTAGCCGTAGGCAGGTATATTAGAGTAAGTTACTTTCCCGGTTTAACTTCGTAATCTAGTATACGCCCGGTAAAGCAAATTTATAGGCCGACGTACTTACGAGGCGTAACGGAAACTTACCTTTAGATTGAGGCCCGTAGCGTAAAGAATAGTCTATCCTTAAAGAGTATAACCTAAGCTAGGAGCTATACGAGCTCCTCGGAGACCACTCAGCCGGTCCGGAGCCTCTTATAGTATCCTTCGTACTAATAGCCGCTCCCGCCTTTCTCGAAGATAACGATAGCTCGGACGACGAAGATACGAGCTTAGAGAGCTTAGATAGCGACTAGGAAAGCGAAGAAGAAGCGTAGAACCTCCTCGAATCTACCTAACTTAAGTAGTAGCTTACGACGGCGTACGCCGAAGACGCTCTTACTAAGGGCTTAATTTACGCTTTATAGAATAAAGAATAGTTATACGAGAATGTTTCTCTTTCGGAGTACGAACTCCGTAGAACTCTACCCCGAACGCCCCGTATAACGTTTAGGAATGCCCTCTACGTCCCAAATTTCGAAGATTTACGAGATTAAATTATACGTTCCGTTTACGACCCTCTCGGAATAGTATATCCTAGCCGAGCTAAGATACTATCTTAGCTCCGGAAGTAGTACTACTAGCCTAATCTATACCGCGATATCGACTAATTCGTTAAGAACTACGTAGTATACCGTAGAGTAAAGGCAGATACGCGTAAGCCGTAAGGACTACTAAAACCTCTTAAAATTCCTCTACGACCGTAGTAGTATATTTTAATAGATTTTATTATAGGCCTACCGAAAGGATCCGACTTTAACGGCCTCTAGTTTTAAAATATACTAGTCGTAGTCTACTGCCTTACTAAACGTAAGAAGGTATTAAACGCCCGTAGCCTAATAGCGAATAATACGGCTTAGGTCTTCTACCGAGATATATAGAAAGATACGGGCTTACCTAAATTATTTGTATCTAATCGCGGCCCGAATTTCGGTACCCGTTTCTAGAAGCGCCTCTACGAGCGACTAAAAATTCAAGCGCGCCTTTTAATAGCTTACTATCTATAGACCGACGGGTAAACCGAACGGGCTAACGCTTAAATTAAACAAATTTCTAGGTACTTCTATAATTATTATTAAAATAACTAGCTAAGATTAACGCCTTCTATTAAATTTGCTATTAACAATTAGGAATTAGCTACGACTTAGACTACGCTCTTCTACGCTTCGACTAGTTTTTACCTCCGAACCGGTATAGAATTAGTAAAAATCCAACCTAAGCCGCCGGTAAACGATCCGGAAAGAGACGCCGATATCTTCGCTCTTTAGATAGCCTAAACCTACTAAGAGCTCTATAACGAGATAAGATATACCTAGGAAGTATACGAGTACTACGCTAATTAGCGTAGACGCGCCGCGCTAGATTACTAAGTCGGAGATTACGTTTACCTCGACTTAGTACTTACGGTATATTAGAACTAACCGACCTTTAAAAAAGCTCGACTAGAAGAATCTAGGGCCCTTCCGAATTATAAGGAAAATAAGTACGTACGTATACGAACTAGACCTCCCCGAGAATCTTAATATTTACCCGGTTAAATACGTAGTTAACCTAAGAACCGCTAGAGAAATTACGAACCCTAAAGACATTCCGCCGATTCTAGAAGCTACCGAGACTACCGATTAAACCGAAGACAAACCGAAGTCTACCTTAGGTATAGTACGGGCAATTATCGGATAGAGCTTCGGTAATATAAACTTCGGCAATCTTAACCCTTCCGGACTATAGGGAGAGATATAGTAGGAGGGATACTTAGACGAAGATACGACCTAGGAACCTCTACGCTATATTATCTTCGTCCGCGAAGTAATCGAAGAATTCCTACGAGATTATACCGACTATACGACTATAGAAGGAGCTATCCCGGAACACTTCCTCCGAGAAGTATATAAGTAGAATTTAGAATAAGGTCTCCGACCGGAACTAGGGTAAGAATACTAGTACCTATTATATACGGACTTCCTTTAGCGTCGTAGGAACTCCGCGTAAAACGAGGGGGGGGGCTACTATTATAGTAGCTACTTAGAAAGCACCGACAAGTCCTATAAGCTAGCCGCTATACTATAAAGTAATATCGGATTTAAGTTGCCTTAGTAGTAGAGGCCCCTAGCGAAGTAGGTCGCCTAGTTAGCTACCTATTTAGCTATATAACGTAATATCTTAGGGACTCCCGTAGAGGCCGTATATAGTAGAATAATACGTTATATATTAATATATAGACGATAGTAAGCGAGATATATAGAGTTGTAGGATAGATCCGAGTAGTAGGAAGGAAACAGAAGATAGGGAAGAGCTAGGAGAAACATATTTGCTTAAGAGCGGTTAAACGAGTTCGTATACGCGCGTCGCGTAAGTTAGCTAGGAAACAAAGTCGCTACGAGATAGCGGATAAGCGGGATACGCGCGCGCGCGCTTAGTACGTAGGAAAGGACCTAAAAGTAGAGGTTTACTAAGAAGTAAGCAAGTAAGATATATATACCGACGCTTACGCGTCGGACGCGCTAGACGCCTATAGGGTAGGATACTAAGGAAGGGGCTCTCCCTCTAAGGTATCCTTCTTCCTTTCTTCGTAGTTCGTCTTATATAGATAGCAGCTATATTAATTTAGTGCTCCCTTTAGTTTAGTTTAAAGTTTAGTATATATTCTAGTATACATTCTTACTACTTAGCCTCTAACCCTTATAATAAGAATCGATAACGCTCCGGAGCTTATTAAAGCTCTTAATGCCTATCTTAGACTATAAATCGAAATAACGACGCCTTATACTCTAGAATAAAATAGAATAGTAGAGAAAAAAAAATCGTACTATTATAACTAAGGTATAGGCGGCTTTAGAAGGATCTAGATTACCTAAATAACTTTAGGGCAAAGCGGCCTATATAGTTACCTATTTATATAATAGGCTACCTATTAAAGGAAGAGATATAACTCCCGAGGAGCTCTATATTAGAAGAAAGCCTAGCGGAGAATACTTACGAGTATTCGGCTATCTAGCCTATCCGTTTATTTCTATAGAGAAAAGAAAAAATTAGCTAGAAAAGACGGTATTTCCGGGAATCTCCGTCGGATATACGAAGTCTACGAAATAGTATAGGATTTATAATCCTAAGACGAACGCTATCGAGACCTATACTAGCGTTAAATTCGACGAATTAACTAAGGGAAGTAGCCTACTATCCGGAGAAAAGTAGCCTACCCTACGGCCTACTATAGATAACGACGACGACGATATCGATCTCCTAGATAAAGGGGAATCTAAGGAAATAGAGGGAGACAATCCCGAAGCCGAGGACAATACTCTAGAAAGACGGGTTAAATAACGACGACGAAAGAATAACTTAAGAACCGTCTATTACTCCTACGAACGAAGGAGGACTAAGAAGGACTACGAGAGTCTCTAAGGTACCGAAGAGACTAAGGGACGAGATAGGGCTAATAGCTCTAAAAGTCGACTATTAAAGGGCCTTCGAAGTACCTACCTCTAAGACCTATACGGAAGCTATAAACGGCCCTTACTCCCGATAATAGAAAGACGCTATTAAAGAGTATATCGAGTCCTTAACGGCTAATAGTAACTACGAGATTATCGACTATTCTAAGCTAAAGGACGGAAGAGGGCAAATAGGTATTATTATTCTAAAATAGGGGTTTAAAGTAAAAATACTACTAAACAGAGGACAAATTTAAGGCGAGATTAGTAGGAAAGGGCTTTACTAGACCCCGTAGTAGTTCGAGTTAGTTTAGTTTAGTTTACTAAGCTAAAGATCTAGTTTAGTTTAGGTTAGTTTACTAAGTAACTATAGGAGTAGTAGGTTGGAACTATAGAATTTATCGGTTTCTAAGAAGTATAGGAATATATACGTAACTTAAAGCAAGCCCTTTATAAGATACGAGAGTATGGCCGGTAGCGTAGACGGCATTTTTTAGTTATAGAAAGGTACTTATATTACCCTAAATCTATAGACAATTAGCTAAGGGCACTAACTAATAAAAAGTATATATATATAAGCTATTAGAGTATAGTTTAGAAACTATACTTATTAGGTATAAATTCTATCCTTTCGCTCTCTATTTAATTCCCTAACGGCTTAGTAGAATGTCTTTATCTAGATCTAAGTAGAACTTATCGATTTCCCTTAAAGCCCTCTTAAAGAAGTTCTAATACTTTCCTACTAAACTATTCTCTAATATTAAGTACTAGGATAGCTCCTCCCTTAGTATCGGTATAGTATATAGAAGCGCTATAAAGCAGCTCTATACTACGTTCTACTAGTTACTCGCTATACTAAGGCCGAATACTAGCTCGTTTCTTAGAACTCTAAGTTATTTAGTAGATATAAAGGGTAGGGTAGGAAGTAACTTCGTATTATATAAGAAGGTAGAGGCTACTATCGAACAGTCCTTTAACTTATAGAAGATAGTAAAAGATATAGAGGCTGCTCTAGGTCTAGGTACCTAGTAGAATTTCTAGTAGGTAGAGTATAGGGATATTTAGAGGGAGTATTAGGTAGAGTTACGAAGGCAGGTAAATAATATAGTCTAGAAACTAGGGTGATTTCTATAAATATTAGTATTAGGTTCTTTAACCTTCCTCCTTTTTCCCTATTTTCTTTTTATAGAAATCTAAACTAATACAAAATAATAAGAGTGTCTATCGTCTTTTAGTTCTTTATAAGACCCGGTAGCGTAGCCGGTAGCGTAGCCGGCATTTTTACTCTTTAGTACTAAAAGAATTTTCGAAGACTTCGATTCTATATAGCTAATAAAGTATATTATATTATATATATATACTTAGGGAGTATTTAGAGCGCGCTATATAGCGCCCTATAATAGCGGTATATTTTATATATAGAAACGCTTATAGAGGATACTAAGAATTTCTACCCTACTAGAATATCTATCCTACCTACTACTATATCGAATATAGATATTCTAGCCTTTAGGAATTTAATCGAGGGCTTTGAAATCCTTATCTATAATTGCAACGCGCTTCGCGTAGATAGCTATAAGGCTAATAGCTAAAATAGTAGTATTATAGTTCGAAAAGAGGTAAAAGAAAAATATATATTCGAAGATACAAATTAGATAGGCTTTAATAGCCTCCTAAAGGGCTTCTATTATAGAGGCTTAAAAGCGATAGTTTAATATACTATATTAAGTAATTTCGTAAACAAGTCGTTAGAAAGGAGCTTTGCGGATTAGGAGTTTACTAATACTCTAAGATCTCGGAATGCTATAAAGGGCTACGGCTAAAGAAGGGTTAGTAAAATAAAAATAAAAATACTAGCTAGGCTACCGGCTACGCTACCGGCTATAGATAAGACTTACTTCCTAGGCGCTATCGACGCTTCGTACGATTATTACTACTAGTAGTAGAAACTCTAGTCGTCGTCTTATACGGAGCTTTTAAGCTTTACCTACGACGCGCTTCCTAGTACTAGAGCTAGCGGTAGTAGTAGCAGCTTTCTTACGTAGATATACTATACTCTTTCTAGTAGGTATAGTCTTATTATAACTCGTTAAAGTACTAGGTCCCTTCTTATAAGACGTCGTAACTTAGTTAAGTAGACTCGGTATTATATAAGTCGTCGAATTAATAAAAGAGTACGTTACTAACGTATACGAAAGCGCGCGTAGGGTAAGGATATAGCGGAGGTAGTAGATATAGAGCGTAGAAGTATAGGTATAGATACGAAGGTTATATATAGCGAGAGAGGTAGTATCGCGGTATTAATAGGTAATAGAGTAAGCGTAACTTAGTTAAGTAGACTCGGTATTATATAAGTCGTCGAATTAATAAAAGAGTACGTTACTAACGTATACGAAAGCGCGCGTAGGGTAAGGATATAGCGGAGGTAGTAGATATAGAGCGTAGAAGTATAGGTATAGATACGAAGGTTGTATATAGCGAGAGAGGTAGTATCGCGGTATCAATAGGTAATAGAGTAAGCGTCGCGCAACCCTATATTATAGTAACGTTAGAGTAAGGAAAGAAGGTAGATACGGCTAAAAAAGATAGGTACGGCAAACTTAAAAATATAGCCGGTACCTATAGCTAGTATAGTAAAACGGCGAAAGCCTCCTTTTAATAAATAGTCGGCGTACTAATAGTATCCTACTATAGTATAGATATTCTTTAGTACTTCGATTAGATTCTAAATTATCTTCCTTATCTAGAAGTCTAAATACTTATCCGCTAGGTAGTAAAACGGCGACTCGCTTTATAAGGGGAACTTAGGAGATTCTACCTAGATACCTTCTACCGTTATTACTACAATACTACTATATACTATCTAACTATCTATAAAGAGTTATAACCCGGCTAGAGATACTAGCTATAGTAATCTTATAAGTAACCTAGGCCTATTACTAGGAAATCTAATAAATATCTATACTACGGTAGGCTATACTAAATAAGCTAGCTATTTAGTAGGAAGAGGCCTACTACTGTCTCTATCTACCGGCTATAAGTGCCGGCTATACCTCTAAATTTAACTCCGCCCTATCTTAATAGCTCTAAGCTAAGGTACCGAGTAGCAATCCTACGGCTTATATTTACTCGGATATCGCGGAGCGCTTATAGGTAAGGTATTAGAAAAGTATATAAGAAGTATAAGAAGAATACCCTAGGATATAGGTCGTAAGTAAATAACAGTAGTACGCCTAGTTACTTATATAGTACGTTACTCTAAAGGACTAAGAGCCTATATTATCTCGTACTTCGATTATAAGCCCTCGACTCTACTAATATAGTATCGATCTTCTCTTTAGTCGCCCTAGGCTATACTAAATAAGCTAGCTATTTAGTAGGAAGAGGCCTACTACCGTCTCTATATACCGGCTACGAGTACTAGCTATACCTCTAAATTTAACTCCGCCCTATCTCGAAGGCTAAGGTACTAAGCTAAAATTCTATAGCTTATATTTACTCGGTTATCGCGGAGCGCTTATAGGTATAGACCCCGTAGTAGTTCGGGTTGGTTTAGTTTGGTTTGCTAAGCCGAAGATCTAGTTTGGTTTAGGTTGGTTTGCTAAGTAACTACAGGATTAGCTAGTTCGAAGTATAGAATTTATCGGTTTCTAAGAAGTGTAAGAATGTCTACGTAACTCGAAGCAAGCCCTTTATAAGATACGAGAGTGTAGCCGGTAGCGTAGCCGGCATTTTTCAGTTATAGGAAGGTACTTATATAACCCTAAATCTATAGACAATTAGCTAAGGGCACTAACTAATTAAAAGCATATATATATACAAGCTATTATAGTTTAGTTTAGAAACTGCACTTATTAGGTATGAATTTTATCCTTTCGCTCGCTGTTTAATTCCC